TGTGTTTGGTGTGTTAAACAGGGTTAAAAACACACACACACACACACACACACACACACACACACATTAGGGATTTGGGCTTTAAAGTGATCCGTTCTAAAACAATGGTTGCTAATGGGAAAAGATATAACTATAGCTTGGTACTTTAACGTATCTTCACTATGTGGATAAATTCTATTCTTGTAACTTCTCTTTTTCACCTCCTCCTAATAGCATATAATAAGAACCAAGGGGACATTGCAACTCAGGGTTGGTTTATTGGACTGATGTGCGCCATCGCCCTCCTGGTCCTGATTTTGCTGATAGTTTGCTTCATTAAGAGAAGCAGAGGAGGGAAATACCCAGGTAAGGAAAAAAAACTGTTAGTATGTTGTTGTTTTTTGTCTTTTTGCTACACATCCTAAACAGAATTTTGATTTAACCTGTAGCCCTCCCATGGGAATGAATTATTCTTACATCTTTAGAGTAACTGCAGCAATAAAAAGAATTTCATCTCATTAAAGGCAATACAGAGAGAGCTTGCAGCTACAGTAGGGATACCTCATATCATTACCTTTATTTAGATGTGGCCTCACTGTTTGCTTATTATGTGTTTGGAAAACAACCTTACCAGAGCAGATCTCAGTAGAATTTTGAGAAGAAGAGGAAATGGCTTAGCATTGTACCTCTACCTGTATTCTCTTGGAGTATAGATTGTGGCTGGCTGATAATGACCCAGTTTTCCCCCAAGATCAAAAAGCTCATTGATTGCAAGAAATGCTGAAAGCCAAACACCAAAAGACACAGAAATGATTGTGATGAGAGAGTTGTGTAGCATTAAATTGCTTCTTCCTGTGCATGAGAATGCTACGAAGTTCAGTAATACAAAAATACACCGAAGAAATAATATCCTACCTAAATGCACAGCTTGGTGCTGGTTCTCCTTGGGTCTAAAGAAGAAGTGATATGTGGCATTCATGGTCAAGTTTTCTAGCGTGCTATTAAAATTATTCAGAAAAAAAGTAGGGGAGAACTTTATTCAAGGAGCTACAGATGGAGAAGGAAATCTTTAATTCTTTCCCTCATGTTGTGTTCTCTGTTAAAATTACCCTTTACTGCATCAGCTGTTAGCTCCATGGAGAGGGAGGGAGACAAAATAAAGATTAAAAACATCTGGCTTTTATCTGGACATATACAGTGCAAGAGGATTGAGAGGCAATCAGGTGATAGGAAATAATAGAACCTTCTTTTTACCTAAACTGGGAGAAGTAATTGAGATTTTCCAGTAGATGTTTTATTTACTTCTCTCATAATCTTTTTTCAATAATTTGTCCTTTTTTCTGTGTCTTCATTGCATAGAGGAAGATTATATTAAACAGCAGGACTAACTCTGTGACAGGAGCTTAAAGTGATTAGTTTGTTTATTATGCATTGAATTATTTTGTCTCTTTCATCTGGCCACAATGTTTACAGAGAAAAGGAAGCCTTATACTTCTCAATAAAGGGCAAAGCCACAGGTCACATGTATGAGCAAGTCTATCTAAAGAACCTTGCCTCAAAATCTGGAGTTCTGCAGACATGTTAAAAGGGTCACATCAAGGTCCCATTCCAGTTGTCTGGCAAGGACCATTAGAATTAGTGGGAAAAGGTCCACGGGCAGAGAAAGAGGCCTACTTTGCATATAGCCCTGGTCATGGAGGCCTCTGCTATGGTAGTGTTTATCCATAGTTCTGGCAAAAAGAATTGTGCCAGGGCAGATTGGGAGGAGCCAAATCTTAAGACTTTCTATTCCTTTAACATACATATGTATTTTCATCTCATACCCCGCCCCATCTCCATTTCTTTCCTGCTGGCATGGATCCTGCAATAATTGGGTTTGGTGGCTTTTCCATATTGGATCCTCCCTTCTGTGTTGCTTTTGGCTTGCTCTGCCTAAATCTAGTAAACATTATTCTCATGTTACAATGGCCATGGTTTAGCCAACATTTCCAAACTGTAATCTCCTGTTTTACTTTTCTCTATTTTGCTGTAAGTGGTGCATACAGTAAATGGCATACGTTAATAGTAAACTCTATCATCTACTGTATTCTGTTCAGTCTTTTCATCCAGCATGCAGCCAGCCCAACAGTGTTCAGCTGGACATTCTAGGTGCCAACGACAACACTAAAAACAATTCTTTTGCAATCTGTCCCAAGTAGGACAGAAATTGGAAGCCATTGTTCCATCTAAGGAGGATTTTGAGAAGGACTGGGCAAATCTGTGGTGGTCTTGTGCTACTAGATACAATTTAAACACCCCTGGCTCCAATATGTCAAGTTTACAGCTCCAAACTACTTGTGGTCCTCTGTGAAAGGGATGCATGTCAAGCCCTGGACACAAAATTGGAAAGCTCTAGGAGTGGATGCAATCCTTAATCTCTGATGGAAAAAATTTATGTCAACTCACTGAAACTTCTCTAAACTTTTTAATGAAGTCCTTGACAACCCTAATCCTATTCTAGAATTCTTTCCACAAGGACCACCCCATCTCCTTTATAAACCTGGCAATTTTTCTGATCTTAAACTTATCAACTTATCACCCATTTTCCCACAGTTCACATGCTATTTACATCAGTTACCTACCAAAACACTTGCCGATAGAGAGATCATATTAAGAAATCCAGCGATAGTAAGGAATTTCTCACTACTGATTCCTTCATATTGAATTAGGCTTGAAGGAAACTCCAGAAATTTGTCATTGCTTATATATTGATTATGAAAAGGCATTCAGTTCTGTGCCCCACTCATGGTTTCTTGAAATGCTGAAGATCTACAAAATTAATAACAGAATTATTATTTTATTATCTAAATTCATGGCAAAGTGGAAAATAAAATTAAGTAGAAAAACCTGTTTAACAATATTTTTATCAGAAGAGGTATCTTTCAGATGATTCTTTTTTTTCAGATGATTCTTTAAGTACTTTGTGGTTCTTCAAAGTACTTAAAGAAGTTTTAAAACCATTTTATCTCAGATAAAATGGTTTTAAAACTCTCTGTCAAAACAGCTCAGGAGTAGCACTCAGGGTTGCAGGCCTAATAATCAGAGGAATGGTCTTGATCTTTCATACTTAATGTATATGAACAATATTAAGTTGTTTGCAAATTCTGATAAACTGAATAATTTCTTAAATTTCATTGAGTCTTATAGTACAGATATAAGAATGAGCTTTGATGTTGATAAATGTCCGATTGATTATCCACATGAAAAGAGGAAAATTCTTAGAGAGTAGCCAAGAGCTCACTAATGAACAGTATATTGAATGCTTAAAGGAGCAGAAAAACCATATGTAGGTATCCACAAAAATCTCAATAAAAAACCACAAGGAACTTAAATTGTTATTCAGGAAAAAGTGAAGGTGGTACTCAGAACAGAGTTCAATGCAAAAGGAAAAAAAATACTGCTATCAATACCTGGGCAATCCCAGTATTCTTTTGGAATTGTGGACTGGACATAAAGTGATTTTGATGATTTAAATAAGAAAACCCAAGTCCTTCTATCAAAATACCAATACATCATTCAAAGGCATGTGCAAAGCGCCTTTATTTACCATAGAGAATGGACATATTCAGGCTTGTCAACCTCAAGAATCTATGTATGGGTTAAAGAATCAAACTTTGAAATTACTTCTCTAGAAACATGGTTCCATTTCATCAGATTACTAGAAGGTGATAAAGGATGAACAGTAAGACAACCTGCAATGAGAACCAACCTACATTAACAAAAGTCCCATCATGTGGGGAGGCATGACTTGAGACAATGTTACATGGATAGCAACCCAGTTATATCCTGAATGATAATGTTCATAAGCAACAGTTGAACCTATGGTTTAAATTAGGCCATCTTCAGATTGAAACTGAGGGATTCATGCATGCAGTTCAATACCATATTATCTACAGTAGATACTATCTGAAAATAGTTATGAAGCAAGGTATGTGATATGCGTAGAGCCTGTCACAAATCTAAAGAAACAGTTCTTCATGTCATAGCTGGATGCCCTAAAATACCATAAATGGGGGAAAGAATTAGGATTACATGTGCAGGCATAACTAAATTACAAGGATCATTTTTCAGAATTTGGCTAAACCTTATGGATTACTCAGATCTTTTCCTCTATATTATAAATACCAGCCACCTTCAGTTTAGAAAACAAAACCATAATACTGTACTATACTATACCAGGACAAGCAAATTATCCCAGATAAAATGGTTTTAATAAGCTGGATATTATACTTCTAAATAAACAATAATAGCAACAGATCTTATGGGAGCTAGAGTTTCATCAACAAGCAACCTCAGAAGTACAGAGTGTATAACATTTGCAAAGTACCAAGCAGTAAGGGAAGAAATTAAAATAAAATGGAAGCAAGATCAGGTCATCCTCCCTCCCATACAAATTTCACCAACTGGAGGCATCCCAAGGTCTTGGGTTACCAATTTAAAACAATTGCCAATACTTACTGGTTTGCTTCCTGAAATTCCAAAGTTAGTGATTTTGTAAACTTCTCACCTACAGATTTTTAGTACTTGTCTCCTAATTTTTAGGCTTGACCCTTTGATCCACCCCTGTACACAAACAATGCTGAGTAATAATAAGATTAATAATAATAGCACCAATAGCGACAACAATACTGCAGTGATGCTGGACAAAATTTTAAGAGGATCAGCATCTTGTTTAATCTGGTATCTATGTGCCCCTTGTTTTTTGTATTAAAACCATGACATGATCAGTAGTGATGGCCTTACAAGTTATCCAGCTATGTTTTATCCAATACTTGTTTCAGACACTTTCCATTGTCAGGTACTCTTTGTGTATTTCATATCCTTCTCGTGCATTCCCAGTACAAATTCATGACCATTTGCTACAATGCAGTAAATGTTAGTAGGTTAACTTTGCAATTCAAAACATATCTATTGAGAAGTAAAAGCTACTTGTTCCAGTAGTATTTATTTCATAGTAAGAATGTTTGTGATTGCAGCTTTGAAGTCATGAAAATAAGATCTTTTCTTTCTCTTTTTCCTTTTCAAATGTTTTTAACCACTTATAAATCTCTTTCCAGTGCGAGAAAATAAAGATGTTCCTCTCGACCCAGATGACCAGAAGGTAGATAATGGCTCATTCGATTATAGGTATGTTTCCAGCTTGGTTGTATGCAAGGCACCTGCCACCTATTTGTCAATTACAAATGGCTCATTTCCCAATTCTGTAATCATCAAGATACCAGTGATCCACCACATCTCATATATTTGCTTTTTTTTTTCTGTTTCTTATTTCCTCACTTTCTGTTAAAGTTCCTGCAGAGGAAAAAAAATCTACATATCCAGTTAAACGATAAGTTACACAATTTCTAGAACTACCCCATTTCAGGTTACAGATGGAGAATTTAATTGCTTCAACCCAATGTGACACTTGTAAATTCAGGATTTTTCATCCCAATCTCTTGCAGCCATTACAGCTGCCTAAAAACCAACCCACCAGAGCAGATTGTAGAGTCAAAGCAATGATGGTGGGATATATCATTTTATCAACATATTTTGGATAAAGTAGCACAGGACAGACAATGATCCTATCCTGCAAATGTACTGGGATTCTACATGCAAAGTGGAGACAGGATAACCAGATATGTAGTATTTCACCAGTATTCCAAACCTGTATAGTCCCAAGAGATTTGTACCACATAATTTATTTGTGTGTGTAGTTTGGCTTCTTTATAAAAATCTGAAAATAAATAATGAGGGTCAGTACCTTTAGAGTTCCCAACATTTTTAGTCATCCTGGTTGTTCAGTGCTCTAAGGAGTACCAAAAACTCACAAGGTTGAGTGATTTAACCTCTATGCTAACTTTGCCACAAAATGTAAAATATCCTGTGGCTGAGGGTAAGACTATTCCTTAGTACCACCAATCCTCTTTGGGTCCCAAAATAACCAAACTGTTGTGAAATTTTATTATTTTATTGAAGATGTTGTAAAAACAAATCAAAAGGAATAATGTTCCAAACAGTTTCAAAAGACACTTTCATAAATCCCAAAAGCAATCAAAAAAGTTGTAGAGCAAATAAGCATTCAAAAGATATTGAGGCAAAGGTAATTCCAAAACAGTTTCCACAGCAAATAAGAAAGTTAACTATCCTAAGTTAATATTCACATTCAAGCAGAATTTCAGCATGGTTTCAGAATATGTGCAGAATATAATGCAGCAGATGAGCATAGCATTCTTCTGAGCAAGACTAGGATAAACTAAGTAAACTCTATTTCCATTTTTATAAGCATCATTCCAGTTTCTAAATTTTTCTGGGGAATATGCCAATCAGATCTCAAGTCATCCTGAACCTTCCCAAAGAAGAGAGTAATGTCTCCAAACTTACTTCACTCTTCCCTCTCCCTTCTCTTTAGCTGAAACCAGTTTTGTTAATTAGCTTGCACCAGACTCTCCCTTCTCTTTAGCTGAATCCAGTTTTGTTAATTAGCTTACACCGGGGCATGTTTTGGCATTGGAATTCCTTCTCAGAGAGTTAAGACACAGATGGCAAAACTTTCCAATTAATGGGCAATTTCTTCTCCCTCTTTTGGTCTGCTCATCCTAGGTACAATCTAACAAACCTGTATTTTTAAAGAGCAACTGAAAATAATTCCCCCGATTTTCCAGTTTCTTGATAACCTATTATACAAACTTATATGTATTCAGAAAGGACCTTGTGAAAACCAACCCTTGCTCAGGCTGTATGTTTTTGAGGAGCGGGTGGGCACTACACATGTTCAATATGGTAATGAGCTCCACATTCCATAATCTTTTCAATAGGAAACTCAAATTATCTAATTGATCATTAGGGCTCTGTTCAACCTATCAAGATTTTCTTATCTGTGTCTGTAATGGGGACTCTATCCCATCCCTTTGTGAATCAAAGAAATCCTTTGCTGCCACTTTTTCTCTCAGCTTCCCAAAGCAAGGTTTTCTCTTTGGCTATTTACAGATGGGTCCTGTGCTCAAGGTTTACATTTGTTTCCCCATTGCTTCCAAGGAACTGAAAAAGGTAACACAGGGAGCCTTCCTAAATTAATCACATTTTTAAAACCAATGGCTAGAATCCTATTCACACAGTTCCATGAACATAAAACTGATTATGTCCACAGACTCAGACTTTAATCTTCAATAAAAAGTTTCCCATCCCCCCTTCTCCAGGTTCCTAGGGATAACAGAAAACTTGAATCAACAAAATTATGGAGAAGTTGACTCACCTCACTGATTTAGTGGGCTTATTCTAGTTGTGATTTACTTCTGGATTTCAACTATTGTGTAAAACTAAAACAAAAGGCCATGGGTTGGATCAGCATTTAAGATTGAATTATGAGCAGAATCTGAGCTGCCTTGCTTTATCAGTTCTCCTACTTTCACAAAAGTATGCTTGATATATTTTTATCATATTCTTTATATCCTTGGGGTTCTGTGAGTGCAGCATTCCAACTTCTGGAGACAATAAGGATATGCTATCACCCTCTACTGTGCTGCTATGGTACTGGTTTCCAAAAGACTAAGCTAAGCCATTTGGAAACCCTTGCCCTGATATAGCATTCTATTCAGGAATTATCCCATACTACACTGAACTGATAGATGAGAAAGACGCGAAGAGAGGAGAGAAGTAAGCCCAATATAGGATCATAAAATTCTAGTCCACTGCTCTGGTCGAAACTGCTTCTTCCTTCCTCCTCTATTGTGCGGTTGCATCCCCTTTTAGGCATGTTCACATGTGCTGACCACAGTGAACTTTTCTGGCCCCTTTTGTCCCATGGTAGCCCCAACCCCATGAAAATACTCCCAAAAACCAATCAGAGAATCTTGCTCAATTGAGTGAACTGGGATTTCCCCAGAGTGGGTAGAGAACCCTGTACTAGGAGAACATATATTATGGATCCAACCTCCATAAATTTTCAGACATCATCAATGGACTTCACATTAGCTTGTTACAGGTATTTGTAGTCACTGTGGTAATTTCAAGATATAGAAAACTGCATGAAACCTCACAATAATTAGTATATGAAATTCGCAATTACTTGTTAAAAAGTAGAAGCACTTTCTTATATCAAACCTGTTTTGCTCCCAATATTTTGTCCTATGAATCCAGAAAGCACTCTACAGAACTAGATCTTTTTTGTGATTAGTTTGTGATGCCTCTAATGTCTTCTGCTGAAATTAGTCCAATGTGAAATCAGTCTTCTGGCATCAGAATTTTCTGCTACTTGATAAACAAGGTTCTTACTCTTAGTAGAGATTAATCAACCCTATATATTTAGAGTCATATATATTTAGAATCTCCTATAGCTTATTGAACAGTTATTAAGAAAGGTGCATTTTAAAATGCATGTGTTGCCTTATAAAAAAGAAAATCCTTCTCCCCCACCCCCCACCCAAATATGGGCAGATCTCTATATGGCCATATAGATAATCTGTTCCCCTCCCAACACTCATTTCAAAATCATGAAATGTCTACCTGCCTTGAGGAGCACATGTGCAGTCTAAAGACAGCCTTTCTGCAAGGAACTGCTTTGCTTTACATCAGCATGACAGAACATAACCCTTCAGACACAAAGGCTGTTTAACTACCTTTCATTGGGACTTTGATTAAGAAAGACTATATGTGGTGGCCATTTTGCTAACATACAGTACTCTTCTACTGCTCCTGCTGCTCAGTTCTGAGGACATACCGTAATCCCCTTTTTATTGGCCATCTACAAATGAATATTTTTTGGAAATATACAAGATATGTATTCTGGTGTGTTCTTACGGAGTTGTCAGGTGTTCTTCCGAATCCAACTTCATTTGGTACAATAAGATGGCTGTGCCCTTCAGGGGAAAAAAGTGTTAGTTTTTTGGAGGTTTTTTTTTTTTTAGCACTGTCCCCTAAAATGCAAACTTCGTCATTTTGCTTTCTGATCAGGCTCTTTCTGCTTTTCTCTCTGTTTTATTCCATTCTCTCTTCTCCTTTTCACCTTGTCCTTCTACATGGACCATGAAGGTCTCTTGAAAGGTAGGACTGTGGATTGCCTTGAAGTTTGGCACACACAGCTTTTTCTTTCAACAATTCCATCACTGAAACACACCTTACTCTCTACCACCTTTCCCTGCCCCCCCACCACCAACCTTCATCTAACACCATTAAAGAAACATTTCTTATTCTCATCCTTTAAATGTTGGGCACCCTGTATCCAATGAGTTGCATTCTGCCTGCAGATCTGAAGCCGTTAGCACAACCTATCGAAATACTTGCGGCCTTAGCTTTGTTCTTTATTCCCCCCTGCCACTAATTCTTAAACATGCAATGACTGCTGTTGCCTCATTGCACAACTGAGAGAGAATGAAAAGGGTCAATTTCATATTCTCAGGTAAGTTTACTGTTTGTTCCCCTGCCCCCTGATATTTAAAGAACAAGATGTGCCTGGTTTCACATGCTAGGTGGTAAACAAAGGAAACATGGTGAACAAGATGCTTTCTGCTATAGAAGAGCTTGCATCCATTCAGAACAAAGGCTTCCTGGAAATCTTTCACTGACAAAATGTTTACTCTGACATGTGCAACTCTAGAACATGATGCCCTAAGCCAGTTTGATTCAAGCTTCCCTTATTTAATACATAAAATAAGCTGCTAGATTTCCATTTTAACAAATAAATAATTTGTGTTTTTGTGTTAAAGATTGTGTATACTCATCTTCCTAACTGTACTAACAAGGCAAAAAACATTACAGTCTTCAGGCCTGCAATTCAGAGATCTGCATTCAGAGGTTGAACATTTTGTGAAAAACAAATTAAGGTTCAGTTCAAGGGACTATTCTTTAGAGAAGGGAAGAAAAGAAACTCATAGCCCCACAGTTGGCTGTGTAACTCTCTGGATTGTAGCCTTGAAAAGTCAAAGCTGGTAGGACGTACTTTGAAACTTCCCTAGTTTTCCTATATAGAGGAGGGAGGACAACTGAAAAGGTAAATTCTGATCTAAACTACATTTCACCTGAATGCTTCAATATGGGAAATGAAGGTGAAAATTTCAAATGGATATCCTTGGTTTTTGCCATTCTTGTTTTGTTTTCTTCCACTACCAACTCTTTTTGCCTCAGAACTCTTCTTTGGTTTGATTATTTTGCTTAAGTAAAGCCTCTCATTGTGAAAGTAACATGTTACTTTTGTTAGGCCATACTTGCAGAACAGGGGTTTGATGCGTTTGCCAGATGAGTTAATGTAATGGAATCACCAGTGAAGATCCCTCCAAAGGAAATAGAATTCCCCTTTCAGTTGCAGTAAATAAAATGTGCTTGCATGGTGCAAGTGACCTGGAATAGCCACACATTAATAGCTAATAACAACTGACCTGTGAGGCTCACTATAATGAGAGACAGAGACGGCCAATAGCATAAATGAGGTCCATGAAATTTCATTAGAGCAACAGCAAATCTTCAAAACCCGTGGAGAACAAACTATATGGATTCACCAGCCGTATGCAGTGGCCTATTTATTTATTTATTTATTTTGTAGTTCCAGGGAAAAGAACTGCAAAAAGGGCAGGTTTATTGAACTCCTAGAGAGCCACCATACATATATGGTGGACATGTGAGTTTGGAACAGGAATGGGAAGAATGACAGCAGTATGAATACACCATTCTTGTTGCTCTGTGGTCTTTATTTAACCTCTGTAGACTGCTGGTTACCAGCTGCTTTCTGACTACATAGTATATCTTGCAGGAGTGTTCTTAAGAATACTGTTCTATCGAACTAAAACAGCAACCCTGCAATGTAAAAGTTACATTGGCATAAAATGTCAAGCCCTGTAGTAACAGTAAAGGAAATAGATGATGATGATGATGATGATGATGATGATCATCATCATCATCATCATCATCATCATCATCATCATCATCATCATCATCATCATCATGTTTTGTGTCATGTTTACTTTTCAAATTCACACAGTGGTTCAGTTATTTTGGGGCATGTGGTGACATGCATAGCCTTTTCTTTCCAACACCTTGTAGTTCATAACACAGCCTGGGTTCCAGACTCTTCCCTTTAGACCAAAGATTCCCAACTTGGATAACCCAAATGTTCATGGATAGCAGTTCCCAGAAGCCTTCACCACCAGCTGTATTGGCTGAGATTTCTGAGAGTTGCGGTCCAAGAACATCTGTGTTATCCAGGGTTGGGAACCACTGCTGCAGAAAGAGAGGACAGATGTTGCTGCCTGAAGACAGATGCAGGGGCTGGCTAATAATGAAGATGCTATTCCCACAGAAGCACACCCTTTATTGACCTGTAAACTTTTCTGGCCCTGGATATCAGCAATAAATGTTGAGGCGCTAGGCTCTTAGAAATGAGATATTTATTTATCACATTAGAATTTTTGTGTTACACACCATCAATGCATTTTCAACATATGGTGGCCATAGTAGAGTTTCCAAAGAATGTGAAATTTTTAAAGAGGTAGTTATAACATTGCCAACCCTCACTGAGCTTCCATAACCATGAAGGGATTTGAAGCCAGATCTTCCAAGTCCTAATCCAACCCTTTTTCTGCCACACTACACAGGCTCTTAACATTAGTAATTTAAGATAGAGTAAGACTGAAGTATCACCTGACATATGCAAAAATATTTTTTTAAAAATTCCCAAGACTTCTGTGGATAGCCACATTTATTTATTTATTTATTTATTTATTTATTTATTTATTTATTTATTTATTTATTTATTTATTTATTTATTTATTTATTTATATCACACCCATCTAGTCAATAGACTACTCTATTGTAGTCTACAAAAAGCTGGCAAGAAGGACATAATAGAAATAAACACGTCCTGTTTTATTTCCTGCATCTTGACAGACATAGGGAGCTTGTGATATTCCCTAAGTTTTTGGACTAAAACTTCTATGATTCCAGATCATTGTCCTGCTTTGAAGAATTTCAGACCTCCTAATTTTGTTACCTTTATGAGAAATGGTTACCCTTTACATGTAAATATTTCCAGGCAGTTATTGCATCCACAAAGAGCTCATCAGGTAATTTGCAGTAAATGACTTGGAATCATGTTCTTCAGATCCTTCTGCACTGTGTCTGCATCTTTGGAATATAGTCACCTGAATTGCCTCTTTCACACATGTAAGGTTGTGCTGGCCCTTTAGGTCTACACCTTTCCAGTTCTAATGACACTTATTTTCCTTTTGATGCTAGTGATGAAGACAACAAGCCACTGCAGGGCAGTCAGACCTCATTAGATGGCACAATAAAGCAACAAGAAAGTGATGACAGCTTGGTGGACTATGGCGAAGGAGGTGAAGGGCAATTCAATGAGGATGGCTCCTTTATTGGCCAGTACACAGTCAAGAAGGACAAAGAGGAGACAGAAGGCAATGAGAGCTCAGAAGCCACATCACCAGTTAATGCGATCTACTCCCTGGCATAACAAAAATACACTGAAAAAACAGCAAGAAGAAGAAACATAATCAATGTGGGTCAGCAAAGTCACCATCAACAACAGAATGCAACCAGAGTAAGATAAAAAGGACCAAACGCAACCCTGCCCAAGTGGTCAGCAGTGCCATCATCTCTTTAACAAACAAAGCAAATGGCATAGATGCACGGGCTGCTGAAGGGATTGTAGTGCAGCTGAAATCTGAGCTAACTCACAAGAGATCAGTAGAAGAGCAGGATGCACAGATCCTGCGCCCCAGGCTTCAGAACCTGACTGAAATAAACACCCCTGTATCCCCCCCCATGTCTAATTTGTGAGATAATGCAACTCCTTTCATTAATAATGTACACAGCTGAAAATTTTGGTTGTTTTTTAAAGGACTCACAGTTGTTCTTAAAAAAAGGAATGCTCAAACATGGGGAATATCAGGAGTGAAGAGGTATGTGTGGAGATAAAAATATAATGAAACCTCCATGCTAAAAGCAGCATGAAATCACATTGCAGAATTGGCTATTGGTACGAATGGCAAACTGTTTTATAAACAGGAACCTTTGTGATTTTTATTTTATTTTTAATTTTTGTTGAGACCATTGCCAGCCAGCCCCTGGCTTATTTCTTGTTTCTATGTGCCCTCAAGTCACTTCTGACTTATGGCGACCCCATGAATGAGAGCTCTCCAAAATGTCCTGTCATACTTGTCCCTAAGCAAGATATATGATGCTCCTTCCTACCAGATGGTACTGCATTAATCTTCACTATAGAAGCTATATATGCCAGGGTGGTGGTGTTGCATTGATCAAAATTGTCTCAAATCTCAGTCAGTGCTATCCATTAACTATTGGGTCTGCCACAAATAATAATGTGAGGTTTCACTCTACCAGTGCTATTTATTGTCTTTATATTCAAAGAAAGGGTTTAATGGAAATTGTTGCATCTTTTTGTCAATCCAGGAAAGGAAACAAAATTGGCTTGTTCTTCTTCCTGAAGAATTACTATGGGATGATTCTTCATTCTTGCTAAAAGAGGCTGTCCCTCCTAAGGCATGCACATGGTGTTAGCTACCATCCCAGAAACATGTGTACAGCAGGAAGGGAAAAAAGAGAAAGGGTGACTGAGAAAGTGCCACCACTCTGCACGTTCCTGCTGCTCATCGAACCAGGATGGTACCTGTTAATGATAACCTGGCATTGCTCCTGCCAGTCACATCTGTGAAAAGTTCAGGGATTTCCTGTCCCTATATGTTTGATGCAAAACTACAATGCAGTCAGAATCAACCCAAACTGATCCATCTTTCCATCCTTCCTATCATTTACATATCGGTCAGGGTCCCATTTTCTGGCTTTCAAGGTAAAGTCATTCTCCAGCACAGGCAAGGACCTTATATGGTGCACTTCCTTTTGGTCAATTAACCTAAAGGAGGCCTTTTCCACTATTAAATAATCAGCAGCATGATGCTCACACTATCTGGTAGTTACACATCAAAAGCACTCAAATCAAGCTAACTTGCTAACACGCAGTAACCCTGTTTTCCTCAGATACAGATTCTGTTGTGACACTGTTCTTCCATATATGCCTTAAACAGCTTCATGCTTTCCCTGAAGCTTAATAAACTATGAATATTTACCCATAGATTAAGCCCCGGTGTGGTGGTCTGTAATTTGTCCATGCAGTACAAATAAGAAGGCTTCTGCAGCTTGGCCGGATGAGAACGCATGGATCATTTTAGAAGGTAGAGTTTTGTAATATACAGTATTTAGCGCAATTCAGTATATATTCTCTTCACTCCCTACACTTTTGAAGCCAAAGGTATTAAAAATGTAGAAATGTTTTACTCCCAGAGAGTCTCTTAGCTATAAAATAATGTTTGAAAAGAAATTCCTAAAGATCTGTTCCAGAATCAGGCAAAACTAGAATTATAACATTCAAACTTGTTTGCTTTAAAGGCAGTTTGCCATTGAGGATATTTGTGTTAGAGAGAACAGAGCAGAGCAGAGCTTTGGTGTACTGTGTAAGGGGTTGTGATATTTTGAGACTTAAATGAAATTATTAACACAGCCATCTTGCATTGCACGAGCAAATGACCATCAGCTAAGCAAAACCTCTGTGATGAATAGGCCACACAATAGGAATGAAGGAAGGAAGGGTTGGGCAAAGTTTTGTTCCAAACATTGAGATGAATACACCTCCTTGTTTCACCACAGACTATAATCTCTTGGAGTGATGATTACATCTCTGGCTCCCAGAGTGCAGAATGCTTTATTGCTTCAAGCACAAAACACTGACTGGTGGGCTTGTCTGGATGTTGTTTTTTTATCAGGAAGCCATGTTTAAGCCCCTAATTCAACTGAGTTCATGTGATACAGAATTGCTATTGGAAAGAAGGCAAGCATTTGGCATACAAATTTAGGAGGTGGTTCTATTGAGTCAAATAATTGGCCTGTATCACACGGGATTGTCTTCAATGACTGGCAGCATCATGCTGGATTTGTGGCAGGAGTCTGTATAAGCCTTACTTAGAGATGTCGAAGACTGAATCTTGGACCTCTGGTCTACCACTTCCAACATATTAAAACACGTTGTGCCAAAATTAAATAGTGATCAGTTAAAGCCAGGACATCCTATATGCATTTATCTTTTAGTTGCATATCACCTTTGAAAATGCTGCCTCCTAAATTTTATACATAACCTCTGCAATGCAGTCCAAAATAGAAGTCATCAGAATCCAGAAACTTGCAGTATTCACCCTAGCTGACTGACTTCTGGATGAGTCACAAGAGAAAATGAGACATCATTGGCAACATTCATTTGGATTGGTTTGGAATAGTAGTTCTCACTATTGGATCCCCAGATGTTCATGGACTAAAACTCCTAGAAACCTTCATGATTAGCTATGCGGGTCAGGATTTTTGGGAGTTGCAGTCCAAGAACATCTGGGGACCCAAGTTTGGGAACCACTTGTTTAGAAACAAGAGACTTCAGGTTCTCATGTATGTAGCAGTACCTGCAATTCTATTCTTTGTTGCAGATGTGTATTTGTTGTGTGTATGTTTTCTCCAGAGCTTCCCTTAAACCATCTGTTTGAAGTGGCTTGGTGACAAGTGGGTGGAGTTGATTTTCACTGGGTCTGGAGGTGCATTGCAGAAATGTAATAAAAGCATGGAAAAGTCATATTTTTTTAAAAAAAATAAGAGGGCTAAATGCTGTTATTAGTCACAATTATTGTGGTCGTATTGAATCAATATAATAATAATAGTAATAATGTGCCAACAGATCAATTCTGACCTATGGTGACTTTTTCCAGGGTTTGCTAGATAAACTTTTTCCAGGGTTTTCTAGGTAAACGATATACAGAAGTGCTTTACTATTCTTTTTTCTGGGAGCATCCTGGGACCTTGCAGCTTATGCAAGTCAATGGGACCTACACAGTTGTTCACTTAAGAAGTTAATGTTGTTTGAATGGAGCAACTCTATCTGCAACTAAGAATAGAATTCATACCAAAGAAAAGTAGATTGTGCTGCACTCATAAAGATAATTTTTCATCTATTTCCAATGGGGGTATATGCAACACTATTTAGCAAAGCTGCCTTATAACCATTTTATTTAATTTGCAGCTGCTGCAGAAAATAAATGCCTAATTTAACAATATATAACCATTTGCCATTACAGTCAGTAGAGTTATCATGGGAATAGATTTGTGCTTTTGAAAGGAGAGCCGAGTTCTAAAGATGCATATTTTATTCTTAAAACTATACAGCCTAACAGAAATAAAAACCAAGAACTTTGGTGAATTGTTTCTTTGGCAAGTGTGAAAATGTAGAGAAGATCCGCATGGGTTCCTTCTCTAATACTCAGTCAAATGCACTGTTTTCCTTTTTTAAAAAGGCATTTAATTGTCAATAAGTGGTTCACTTCTTGTTATATTGTCTATAAGACCAAAGTCAATGTTATCACTAATGAAACTTTAGACTGTAATCTGTACCTAACTTAGACATGAGTTTAGTACTTACTAATTGAACACAATACAGTAGATTGCATAAATGGACCACAGTGCATACATTTTGACTGGAAGTACCTGCTATTGATCATGGATCCTCAGACAAAGGATAAGTTACTGTGCAACCCTGATTAATTAAATATGCAAATTTGAAAATATGATAGGATAACCTCTATGTGATAGACAAAGGAGATTTCAGATTTTATTGGAAACTATGCAAAAAACATGAAATTAAAATGCAGAATGAAATAATCAATTTATGAAAAAGAAGAACCTGTAGTCATCAACATTACATTCAGATGACTATAAAGGAGACAGTATATGTGGAAATCCCTGCAATATGGTACTAATAATATTATAAGGCAGCAAGTAAATTATACCTTAGTTAATGAGAGGCACCAAAACAGTGTTGAAAGTCCATTGAAATTTATCCTAGAGATAAATTCAGATCATGATTCTGTCAGTGCTATTGTCCATTTCAAATTGGGGGGGGGGGCCACAAGAAAGTATAAACAGAAAAAGTGTAGGAATTTACATGATCCGACAGTATGTAGTGTTGCTAAGGAGGATGCTTCATGAAGGCATTGTTTGGATTGTACACTGAATTGACTCAAATACAAATGTTACTTGCTCTAAACAAATGGAGGTGCCACCAACAGCAATCTAGAAAGCGGAAATATCCATTTAAGAAAAGAAAAGAAATGAATGACAGAAATTTTAAAAGCTAATGGAAGAGAGATGAATACAGAAAAATGAAGACAATATTGAATACAAATAATTACATGGGAACATCTGGAGCAAAACTAAAGAAACCAAAGAAAAAATGGTAATCCAGAAATAACCTCCAGAGGATCAGTAACTCTTTAACATACATGGAAAGACCAAGGGGGTGGCAAACATATGAAAAGCAAAGAAATGAAAACTAGCAATGCACACTGTTAATGGATAGTAATAATTCTCTGATACTTGATATCAAGGATAAAGTAATAATATTGAATGAATACATTAAAGAGCTGTTTGGCGAAAATATGCCCACAAAATTTATTTTACAAGATGTTGATATTGGACTAGAAATACAGATATCTGTATGTGAAATGCAAAATTACTAACAAAAAAAGAAAAAACTATAGGATTTGTTGGAGGATGACACTTTAAGATGATTTAGTGAATCTTTTCAATCAGGTCTGTGGAACTGGTATTATTCTTGAAATGTAGGTGAGATCAAGTTTATTACATTACTTCAAAAGGAAAATACAAGGCTTGTACTATATACAGAATGATAAGTCTATTGAGACATTTGCTTAAGGATTTCTTAGAGAAAATATATGGAATTTTTAAGTGCAAAGAAAGGGTAGGAAACAAACTGCTTAGATTAAGAATGGTCTATGGAAGTATGGAACTATGGAAGTAGTAGCCTTCGTACATATGCTTTGGAGGAGATGTTATATGAATTTGGGTATATGTTTCCTTCTCCTTCTCCTTTTCCTTTTTTTTCTTTTTTCTTTTTCTTTTTCCTTTTTGACCAGAATAAAGCCCCTGACAAATTGAACATGGCAAGCTGATGGAGTTGATGATAAATCAAAATCTTGATTCAAGAGATATTTGCACAATTGGTATCGCAGATTGGCAATAGGAAGTTGTATTGAAAGCTGAAGATAACATGGTAGAGCATTATGACAGATGTATACTCTCAGCATTGCTTCTTAATCTGTACTTTGAGAATACCTTTAGAGCAAGCACTTGTTGATTCAAATAACAGTATCATTGACAATAGAGAGGTTATCAATGATATCCAGTATGCAGATGCTACAGTGTTACCAGCTGACAGTTTAGAAGGCTTATAAAGGGAATTAGTCTATAAAATCTGTAATGTAAGTAGTTGCAAGTAGTGAACATGATCTAAAAATGAATGCTAAGGAAACCACATTCATAATCAGTAAAAAGCAAGCAGCACAATAAGTGCTATTAAAGCTCCTAAATGAAAGTATGGCAATTCTTGTCAGATTCAAGTACTTAGAATTTTGTTGAATGAACAACAGGAACCTAACTATGCAATAAAATACAGGATTGACAGATGTTGCCCAGAGCAGCTTCCATAAGATGCAGAAGAATGCAATATGCAACAAAAGTGGCTTGAAGAATGTGTATTGTATAATGCTGTGTTTTCTATTTGTACTGTATGGCATGGAATTGTGAACATAGGCAACTGTAAAATTTGTACTTATCACAGGGTGCCAATAATTCCTTGGATCAAGAGGATAACCAATGAAGAAGTAGAAAGACAAACAAAGAAAGACCAAGAAACCATAAAACAGATAAAATACCTAAATAATACTTTGGTTACGAAAAACAAAAAACACAGATTGCAATAGCTGATAATTAAAGGTGAAATAAATAAGGAAGAAGTGCAGGAAAAAGAAGAACATTGACGGAAGAACCTTGGAGATTGACTGGGATGAAATCTAACTTCACTGTTTAGAGATGCTACATCTCTACTCACAATAGCCATGATGACTTCCAAGCTGTGGTAGCAGCAGAAAAGATAAGGGGGGGAAAGGAGGGGGTAAATTTAAATATGGAATAGAATGGAGGATAGAGTTCATTGGTATGGTTTCAAGTACAGAAAAAGTTACT